GGGCGCGCCAAACAACAATGACGGCTACAACCAAAAAATATGCGGGCGTTGTGGCGGGCGCCCGTAATCCCAGCTAGTTGGGAGGTGGAGGCAGGAGACTCGCTTGAGCCCAGGAGTTGGAGGTTGCGGTGAGCTGTGACGCCACAGCACTCTACCCAGGGCGACAGCTTGAGGCTCCGTCTCAAAAAAAAAAAACCAAAAGAAAAGAAAAATGGCTCACTGCTGGGTGAACTCAGAGTATGCAAAATTTATCTCGCCTGAAGACAGAACGCGGGAGTCACACCCACGCTCCCTCCCGAAGCCACGCCCAGGGCCGGGCAATTGCTTAAAACTTTGTTCCCGATAGGACGCCTCTCCCCTGCTCTCCTAGTTCCTGTACCCTAAAGGACAGTGCGAGCAACAGCTTATGCTATTTTAACGCGGACTCTTGGTAAACACCTAGAAAATGCGCCTTCTTTTTCCTCGAAAGCCCACTTGTAAGTGCTAACAGCAGCGCACATTCAGGGCGGCCTGGACCCGAGCGCCTTCCCCAGGCTTTGGGACAAATAAGTTACGCCTTAGTCGCGGTGTCTGAGTCTCGTTGCAGGTGGGCACGCCCTTCCTGGGCTCATTCCTACTGCAAAGCTAGGAAGTCCCCGAAGCCGCCAGGTTTCTGGCCACAGCTCAGGTCCGGCCGAGGCCCCCGCGCGCCGCCCCCCCTCCTCTTGACCCTGATGCTGGCCCACGCAGCCCCTCGTCCTCGACCTCTAAACCTTCCCACTCCGGCACCCGCACGCGCGCTCAGAACCCCTCGCACAGTGACCTGAGAGCCCGCCGGGCGGGGCCGAGCACGCGGAAACCTGGGAGCCGGTGGGGCGGGGCCGGCGCGCGGAAACCTGGGAGCCGGTGGGGCGGGGCATCCGACAGCCCCAACGGCCGCTGTAGACGCGCGGGAACTCCTGGCGCCGAAGCCCCGCCCCTCCTCCGTTTGAACCCGAGGTCCCGCCCCCACTCTGGCCAATCAGCGGGCGCGGCGCGCGACGGCCGCCGTGGCGACCCTTTGTAGGCGCTGAGTGATGGCCGCACGCCCCGCCCCGTCCGGTGGACGCCCCTCCCTCAGCGGCGGCGGGACGCGAGCGGCGACAGCGGCAGACCGGGCCGAACGGGCTGGCGGGCTCGTGGCGCAGGTGAGCGTCCTGGCGGGGGCGAGGGCGAGGGCCGCTCCAGGTGGCTCCGGGCGGCGCGCGCCTTTGTGTGTGGCAGTGCCCGTGCCCCCCGACGGCTCGCCGGGCCGCGGCGGGACTCGAGGACTCTGGTGAGAAGAGCGCGAACAACCGGGCGCATCCCCGGCCCACCGTTTGGTTCCGCCCGGTCGCCCCACTCCGGACTCTCCGGTCGGTGCGGTCCCGGCCCCGGTCGGCTTGTGTCTTTCCGTTTGCGGGAAGCGCGGCTGCGGCGGAGCTGACCTGAGGAGAGCGGATCCCGGGCCCCGAGCCGTGGCCGCCTGCCCTCCCGTAGCCGTCGGCGGCGCCCTGGAGTCGGCGTTGGTGCAGAGCAGGGCGTGGGCGGCGGGAATCAGCCGCGGAGCTCGGACCCGGCTTCGTGCGGGGTGGACGCCCTCCCCGCACACGGAGGGCGGGCCGGGCCTGGGAGACGCCTGCCCGGTGGGTGCGGGCCTGGTCGTTCACCCCGAGGGCTGTCAGCACGTGTGTGGTGGCGCCCCGGGGAGCCCCGCCGCCCCTGCTGCGGGGCCGGCGGGGCGGGCGGGGACAGGTCCCGAGATCCCCATGGCGGTCACCTCCGACAGGATCCCCGTGGAGAACCGTCTTTTTTGGTCCAGACAGAGCGTTTTCCCGGCCGCATCAACCCGTCTGGTGGTCCTGGTGGCCTGTGAGTGCTTGATGCACAGCCGCGGGGCTGGACGAACCGTCCTCTGGAAAAGTGCCCCAGGGCCACAGCCAGTGACTCAGGCCCGGGATTCCAGCTCTCTGGGGGGCTGGGGCAGAAGGATCCCTGAGCTTAGGAGTTGGAGACCAGCCTGAGCAAGACCAAGACTGTCTCTACCAAAAATAGAAAAATTGCCCAGGTGTGACAGTGCCAGCTGTCCCAGCATCTCAGTAGACCAAGACAGGAAGGTTCGCTTGAGCCCTGGAGTTGGGGGCTGCAGTGAGTTGTTATGAGGCCACTGCATACCTGCCTGGGCCATCAAGAGCCTGTGGGTTGAAGAAAAAAAAGGCAGCAATTATGACCCTTTTCTGGGAAGAGCGGCAGGTTTTATCTTGAAAAGAGAGGCCTCAATTTGCTGCTGGAACATGATCTTGAGGAAAAGAAAGTTTATTGTCCCAGGTAACAACAAATACTTGAAATTAACCTTTTAGTAATTACTTGAGGAAAATCTCTAGCAGACTGGTGGAATGGGGCGCTCCCTGGAGCTGGTCACTCTGTGTCGACAGTTGGCAAATAAACAGCCTTGGGACTCACCATACTACTGGTTCTTCCCTGTTTCCTTTTGATGAAATATTTCAAAATCAGTCTGATTGTGTTTAACATTGTTGGGTCGGTGCCCATAGTTCAGTGAGTAGGGTGCTGGCCACATATACCAAAGCTGGTGTTCAAGCCCGGCCAGGCCTGCTAAACAGCAATGACAGCTGCAACCAAAAAATAGCCTGGTGTTGTGGTGGGCACCTGAAACCCCAGGTATTTGGGAGGTTGAGGCAAGAGAATCGCTTAAGCTCAAGAGTTTGAGGTTGCTGTGAGCTGTGACGCCACAGTACTCTACCCAGGGTGACAAAATGAGACTCTGTCTCTTAAAAAAAAGTTAAGACATAAACGAGTCAGAGTCATAGTGTTCGAGGGCAACATAGTTAGTGAGACTCTGTCTCAAAAAAAAAGAAAGAAAGAAAGAAATTAACGTTGGCAGTGCCCATAGCTCAGTGGGTAGGACCCCAACCATGTATACCAAGGCTGGTGGGTTCAAACCCGGCCTCGGCCAGCTGAAGTCAACAATGACAACTGCAACCAAAAAATAGCTGGGTGTTATGGCAGGCACCTGCAGTCCCAGCTACTTGGGACACTGAGGCAGGAGAGTCACTTAAGCCCAAGAGCTTGAGGTTGCTATGAGCTGTGACATCACCGCACTCTACCGAGGGTGACAAAGTAAGACTCTGTCTCAAAAAAAAAAAACAAACCCTCAAACATTGTTAATGTGGATTTGCTGTTGAAACTCAAGACTCAAGTGTGTTTGCCAATGGCTATAGGTCCAGCCCTGCTGGCCAGAGCCTGCATTGGGCTGCTGTAGACCTGCAGTGTGAGAGCTGAGGCTGCACTGAGCCACGGAGTATGGCAGACTGAGGGATCGATCCTAAGGGCCTTGCCCTGAAGGGCTGGTGGAATTTGGGGCCTTGAACTAGAGGTGTGGGCCCTCTGGCCTTATATCCGAAAAGTCTAGCAGCCTTGGGCCAAGGTCACACAGGTAACACAGGGAATGGCACCTGGCCCAGGAGGGTCTGTTCTCACCTCCACTCTGGGCATCTCTTAGGGCCAGGCCCTACCCTGCTGGCTTTGCCCCAAGCACAAATACCAGACCGAGGTGGTCCTCACAGGCCACCTGAACCCAGCCTTGTCCTTTCACTCTCCACATAGGTTCTGGGTGACAGCACTTTGGGGTCATGCAGTTGTAACAACTGCCCGTGAACTTTTACCCCTTTTTGTGGTGATAAATCTGTCAGCATTTTATTTTTCCTAATAATCAAGCTATAATTTAATATAGTGGGATGTGCAGACATTAGTGGATAGTTCAGGGCTTTTTGATCCATACATGGACTGGTGTGGCACGGGTGCCTGTGTGGATAGTGCACCCTTCCCTATGAGAGTTTACTCTGTGCTTGGCTGCTTGAGGCATCTCCTACCCCAGGATGGTGACCCTTCCATGCTTGTATAACCTGGATTAGCTTTGCCTGTTAAATTTCTGTAGTACACACTGTGTCTTCTTTTTTCCTGCCTGTTTTGAGATTTGTCCATGTTATTGCACAGAGCATTAGGGTTTTCCTCACTGATTTGTAGTCTGTTGTCAGAACACACAGTAGTTTATCCATTCAGCATGTTTGTTATATGTTGAAAGGATGCTTAAATCTGAGGGCAATGAAAGAAGGCTACAGTAGGGTGTGGTCCTAGCAGAAGAGTAAATGCAGGACAGGATAGGGACAGGCACTGTTCAAGATTCCTGTGTCCCAGGGAGAGGGGCACAGGGGAAGGAGGGAGGTGGATTTCACTGTGCACTCTGGGAATTGGTGAAGTGGAAGAGGAGTTTATCAACAAGTTTCTAGTTCCTGGTGCTGCCCTTGGGCTGTGGGCGCTACCAGGCCAAGCCAAGCCCTTCATTGATTTGGTGTCTATAGTGTGTCCAGCAGGCTCAGGGTCCAGGGGCTTGATTTGCAATCGGAGCACTTGGTAGGCCCTCTACAGTCGAAGGGCAGAAAGCTCCCTCACACCAAGATCTCCCCAGGCAGGCAGGTCCTTTTCTGGCCTTGCCATCCCTTGACTTGAGCAATAGCAAAAAGTATCACAGAAACAGGTTGCGCATGAGACGTAACCTTCTGAGACTGGCTTTTCCCTCAGCATAATTCCCTTTGGATCCGTCCAGACCACCCTGGGTATCAAGTTTATTGCTGTCTGCTGCAAAGCAGGATTTCATGGTGTGGGCAGATCAGAGTTCATGTGACCATGCCCCAGGTGTAGGGGGTCTGTCCCCAGTTTGGTGCAATTGTGACAAACCTGTGAATGCTGCACATTTTTGCATGAATGTTGATTTTCATTTCTCTGGATAAATGTCTCAAGAGGTCACTTAATAATGTACAATTTTAAGAGTATCAAGTGAACAGAAGGTGAGATTTTTGACATTGAAAGGAAATTCAGAGGAAAAAGGAACCTCTTTTATCTGTCTACCCAAGGGTAGGACCAGCAGGGGTGAACCTTGCGGGGGGGGGGGGTTTGCTGGGAGGGTGCACTTGGCAGCTGGTTCTTTAGCCAAGCAGGACTCCATTTGCTCCCCAGACCCCAGAGTGGATAGCACATGGCCTCACACCCTTGCTTTTCAGAGGCTTCTGGGCATGCCCAGCCACAGGGAACCATCAGATTTATTTATTTATTTTTTAAGGACGTCTCAAGTTTGCATATTTAAAAAACAATTGTTTATACATAACTCAAATGGATTATTTAAAATAAAAATGTTTATCTACATTACATACATGAGAAGAGAGAAACTTGGTAATATCAAGGTAATGCCTTGGTAAGGCTTAAGTGTCTACTTCAGGAAGGGCCACCTAGTGGCAAGCTGGCCCATGCCCGTACCTACTCGTGGCTGTGTTGCCCCCCTCCAGCCCCCAAAGATCTCCCACTTTAGAGTCAGTTCAAAACATCAGTTCCCACATGTTTTTCCTTCTGGATAGAGATAGGGCTGGTATGTGTTGTACATCCTGAGAGAGGCTCACAGTGCAGGAGCCTTATGTATCCACGGTGCTGCCTGGGTCAGGGGCACAGGCCCCAAAGTGTTTTGGCTGCTTTGAAGAGAGAAAGAAGTTGGGAGGAGAAGGGTGGTTGTACAGGCTTGTTCCTGAGGGGGCTTGGGGAATATCAAGCAGAAGCAGCCTCATGGGTGCTCTGTACCCAAGACGTCCAAGGAATCCGTGTGTGCTCTGCTCTGGCTACTGCAGCAGCCTGGGCCCCAGGCTGCAAGGGTGCTATGTCCCTTCCTTCTAGAATGTGACGCATTGCATGCCTGCCTACCTGCTGGGAAGGAATGCCCAGCTGGCAAGCCTGCCCTTTGTGTCCCAGTGGTGCAGCTTTCCAAGGGCTGGCAGCAGTCCATGTGGACACTTGTTAGTGGAAGCGCTGAGAAAGGAAGGAACTAACCCTTGTGAAATGGGGGTGTGACATCCCCAGTCATGATCCCAAGGGGAGTCAGTGGACGGAGGTGTACACCCTGCCCCTGCTTCTGGGCCTTTTATGCCTTGTCTCACTTCCCCAGAGTCTCTCTTTTCTCATATGTGCCGTGATTAAATTTTCCAAAAAGTCCTTTCACCTATTTTTAGTCTATTTACCTTTTTTGGTAGAGAAAATTGGTCTGCATTTTAGAGAGTTGTCTAGATTGCAGATGGGGTGCACGGGGGTGCTGTTCTGAGGGGAGTTGTCCCCGAATCCCCACTCTTCACTGCCTGTTAGGTCATCACTGCTTCTTTCTTGGGAGTCAGAAACTAAGCCACAGGGTGTTGTCTGTTAGAGATTCTGCCTGGTGCTAAATGGCATCTTTCTTGGTCTCAACAGGACACCATGTTTGCACGAGGATTAAAGAGGAAGTGTGCTGATCATGAGGAAGACCTGGGGGCAGCCCTGGCTGGCTTTAAGGCCGTTCCCTCCTATAGCCTTCAGCGGCAGTCGCTCCTAGACATGTCCCTGGTGAAGCTGCAGCTCTGCCACATGCTGGTGGAGCCCAACCTCTGCCGCTCAGTCCTCATAGCCAATACAGTCCGGCAGATCCAAGAGGAGATGACCCAGGATGGGACGTGGCGTGTGGCTGCACCCCAGAGCACAGGTCAGGCTCCCCTCGACCGCCTAGTCTCCACAGACATCCTGTGCCGCACAGCACGGGAGCAACTAGGGGTGCGCCCTGCTCCTGGTGTGGGAGATGGCCACGTGCTAAGCCCTGCTTCTGAACTTTCTGCAGTCCCTCCCGCCCAGGTGCCAAGGAACCTTCAGGACAGCGTCTGGGAAATGGACAGCCCTCGGGAAAATAGAGGAAGCTTTCAGAAGTCACTAGATCAGATCTTTGAAACACTGGAGACCAGAAGCCCTGGCTCCACAGAAGAGCTGTTTTCAGACATGGACAGTTCCTACTGTGACTTGGACACGGTGCTCACGGGGATGGTGAGCAGTGCCAAGCCAGGACCCTGTGATGGGCTCCAAGGCTTGGCCCCAGCAGCCACCTCACCCCTACCCTCTAGCTGCAAGTCTGACCTGGGCGAGCTGGACCACGTGGTGGAGATCCTGGTGGAGACCTGAGGCAGAGACTACAGCTGCCCCACAGTGCTCGTAATCAGTCTGCAACCTGAGGATGCCGAGCACTCGACCTGCAGAAGAAAGTTTTATGTAGCCTGTGGCCAGCGGGGTCTCTAATCCCCCACCTGGTCATAGTGGAGCTGGGTCTCCTCCCAGACTTCCTGCCTGGGGCCAGTCTTGATATTCCTCATAGCCTGGGCCCCTTGCCTCTTTTTGTGTCCTGCCTGCAGCCACCATGGAGGACAGTGAGCCACAAACTGTATCAACCTCATTTAAATTTGGATAGGTGAATTTTTAAACATATAAAATTAAGTTTTATATGTTTTAGGCAGTATTTTGCCTTAAGAGATATTTTTTTAAACTTTTAATACTTTACCTCTTTAGATTTTTTCAGCTATTTTCTTAAAAGTATATTTTTTCTATGAATATCCTCTGCTGCTACATTAGAAACTTTTATAGAAAAACACTTGCATTGCCGTTGGTATATTTCATTTTTTGGAGGTTTAATTAAATTAAGTTTTTTTTTTTTTTTTTGCAATGAGCTTTACGATAGTCCAACAGTATAAATATACTGTCAGTTTTTACTTTACATTTGTGTGTGTCCCTTCTCCATTATATTATATTACACTTAGAGCTCGATTAAAATCGAGAACCAGGCACGGCCACTTCATTTCTGTCATTAGAGAATCTGCTGTGGGAGTCACGTCTGCTTGCCTAGATGTAAGTGTAAATTATGGAGGGTTTTATTTATGCCTAGTTATGTGTAAATGTCATTAAAGATAAAGTCACCAGCTGCTTTTCAGGGACTCAGCCTCTCAAGTGGTGCCTCTGATGGGTGGTCTCATGATGGGCCACCTGTCCCGGGTAGGGCCAATGCCTGTGGTTTGTGCACGAGGCTGCCCAGTGCCAGGCACACATGTCTGGGAAGGTGCAGTCTGTGTGCTGTTGACTGGAAATGCCTGTGCTGCTCTGTTGGTGCTAGGTCTAAAGTTTGAGGTTAAATTTAAGTTCAGAATAAAAGAAATCTGAATCTGTGTAGTTTATGGCCCTTGTTCGTGAGGGTGCTGCTACAGAAGTGAGGCCTGCACCTGTCAGACCCTCTTCCTGCTCACAAGTTGGTGTCCCCAGCCTTGTCCACCTGTGTCTATTTTATGCTCCTAGCTTCCCTGCTCCTCAGCAAGAAAGGCTGGTGTTCTTTTGTGCATGTGACCATTGTTTAATCTTGGTGATGTAAACCCCGTGTTATTAAAGCATTATCCAACAAGCAGAATGGAAATGTGTATCAACTTGTGTCACACCCTTCAGTGATCCTTTCCCAAGCCAGTCTTACTGGCTAGTGGTGTGGGCTGGGTGTGCCACGGAGGGAGGCAGTTGTTCTTGTTTTCCTACCACACTGCAAAATGCCCGTGGTCCCTGCTTTCTGAAGCTGCTGGATATTGAAAGTGTGAGTGGAGGAAAGTAGTTTAAAGGGTGTTTTATAGCAATAAACCTAACCTGGTGTTCTTTATATAAACAGTCTTACCTTTTAAAAATATCACTTGTTCAGTTTCAGTGGTGGCTGTAGTGTCAATTTTGGCAGACTTCAGAAGCATGCAGTCCCCTGAGAGTGTGACTTGGGCACACGTGCTGGCTCCAGGGTGCTTCTCAGTGCAGCAGGACCCCAAGGTGGAAGTGACTGTCCCTACCTTCCTGCCCTAGGGCTGAGGAACCTGCTTTGATTTAGAAATGTGGCTTTGTTGAAGGCAAGGAGCCAGGTGAAGCAGTGCCCTAGCCTGGAATCTTGCCTTGCTTGGTTTGTCAGACTCATCAGTCAGAAGACTGCTTGTTTCTGCCAGTTGTTTTTCTAAAAATTTGGCAATTTAATTGAAATGTATGTGGCATTTTTATGTGTGTACCTCTTGATTGGAAACAAAATTTCCAAGTGTTTAAAAAATGTTTATTCAGAAGCAGGTATATAAATTTCAGTCACCTGAAATGTTTGCAGTGTTGCCTGGGACCTGCCTCAGGCCAAGCCCTGATTCCTCCCTCCCCTCTACCCTAAGGTGAGTGGACATTTAATTTCCACCTTAGTTGATAGGGTGTCATACAAGTGTGTTTATCAAACTAAGGCCTGAGTGTCAGGTGATGGATGACCTTCACAGGCTTGTGGATGCAGGCACCTGATGTGTGTGCTGCCGGCTTAGTGCAAGCTTCACAGCCTTTTCACTCCGAAAGTGAGTAAGGTTTTAGGGAGGACAATGTGCAGGTGGCAACCTCCCTCCTTTCAGGGATGCTATCATTGTTTTGGTGAGACCTGGGCATTGTCTTGTCACTGCTTTTTTGGGGGGGGGGAACAGTCTCACTATGTCACCCTCAGTAGAGTGCTGTAGTGTCACAGCTCACAGCACCCTCAAACTCTTAGGCTCAAGCAATCTTCTTTCCTTAGCCTGGGACTACAGGGCCCTGCCACAACAACGCCTGGCTATTTTTCTTAGAGATGAGGTCTCACTCTGGCTCAGGCTGGTCTCAAACTCTTGAGCTCAGGCAATCCATTCACCTCTGCCTCCCAGACTGCTAGGATTACAGGTGTGAGCCACCACACCCAGCCTTCTGGATGCTTTTAAGACCTATAGGAAGTATTTAGGGATGGTTTTCTGCATGTGTCACTAGCTTTGGGTTAAAGAGTTTTAGATCTGTCAGTTAGCATCTTTTGTCAATTTTGGAACATTCTTGGCCATAAAAACTCAAATATTCTCGGGTAGTGCTTGTGGCTCAAAGAGGTAGGCGGCCGGCTCCATATGCTGGAGGTGGCGAGTTCAAACTCAGCCCTGGCCAAAAACTGCAAAAAAACCCTCAAATATTCTCATTTGTTCGCTTTCCCTTCTTTCTGCTTCTGGAACTCCGGTTAACTTGGGTTAGGCCATCTGACTTGCTCTATAGACCTTTGGATATACTGGCCTTTTCTCTACATTTTTCCTCTCCATTTGCTTTTTTTTTGGTTAAGCAGGCCTGGACTGGGTTAGAAACCATCACTCCTGGTGCGTGGGGTCAGTGCTCTAGTCACTGAGCTATGGGTACCCTGCCTCTGTGTTCCATTTGAATCTTTCCTATTCAGGTTCACTGATGGTTCCTCCCCAGTGTCCAGTCTGCTATCAAGGCCATCTACAGAGTTATAGCTGGATGTGGTGGCACTTGCCTGTAATCCCAGCTACTTGGGAGGCTAAGGTAGATCACTTGAGCCCAGGAGTTTGAGGCTTCTGTGAGCTATAACGATACCACGGCACTCCAGCCAGGGCAATAGCAAGACCTCGTCTCAAAAAAATGATTCTTTATGATACTATATTTTCTGTTTCTAGTATTTTCATTATCTCTTTAAGAGTTTCCTTGTTTCTGCTGAACAATGTCCACGGCTTCACCTCTTTGAAACAGTCCCCTCACAGCCCTTGCTGTCCTCTCACAGCCAGGGCCATCTGCTTCTGCTCTGCTCATCACAGCTCATGTTTCCTGCTTTATCGTGTATTTCATAATATTTCAGTGTAGGCTGGACATTTCATGGAGAGAACAGTAGCATCTGAAGCAAACCATGTTGCATGCCCCTCCCTCTGTCCCCACAGTGGGGACCAAGCTGCTCTTCCCTTTGCTGAGCTGGATCTGACTTTGCTGCAGCTTGAGTTCAGACTGGAGGTGTTTTGAGGGTAGCATCAGGACACTTGCTTCAGCCAAACCACCTTCTGTGGGAACTGACTGCTGTGTTTACAGATCACAGGAGACCTCTCTGCTCTCCATGCCCACCCCTTGTCCTGTCCTGAGGGTCTTTCACACTGTTTCCTCTTCCTCCCCTCCCAGAGGCTAATCCCCCGCTTCCTTCCCCTCCCACCCACTAATCCCTCTCTGTCCCACCTTCAGAGGGAGGCTCTCTTCAACCTGACATTCCCCAAGACAACTGGGGATCCCTTGGCCCCCTGTACCATAGCTGGCTACATGTGGTAGGGCAGCATGGACATGTCTTCTGGCCACCTCCTCTCTGAAGGGCTCACTGTTGAGTCATGTAGGTTTCCTTGTAGTAGTCTCTGCTCTGAGTTGTTTGAACTGTGATTTTGTATCACAATGGGCTCATTCCGGTAGGTCTCTTAAAACTAGGCCACATGGAGGCTGGGCATAGTGGCTCACGCCAGTAATCCCAACACTTGGGAGACTGAGGATGGTGGATTGCCTGAGCTCATAGCTCATTGCCTGAGACCAGCCTAGGCAAGAGTGAGACCCAGTCTCTAAAAAATAGCTAGGCACTGTTGCAGGTGCCTATACTCCCAGCTACTCAGGAGGCTGAGTCAAGAGAATCGCTTGAACCCAAGAGTTTGAGGTTGCTGTGAGGTGTAACGCCTTGGCACTCTGCCGAGGGTGATCAAGTCAGACTCTGTCTCAATAAAAACACTAAAAACTAGGACACATGAGCCAGATAGTTCATGGGTCTGTTCAGATCCTGCCCAGCTCCAGGAGCCCCTGACGGTTGCTGGGCCTAGATGCAGTGACCACCAGGCTAGGTGTGGGCTGGTAGATGCTGGCCTGGGGACCTGTATGGGTGGCTACACATACTGAGACACTTTAAGAGCAGCCAATGGGGCCAGTGTGGGGTGAAGATAGTTCAAGTCTGGAACTGTGGAGTCTGAGCCTCTGAAAGCCGAGGAGGGCAGGAGAAAGGCCTGTGGTCATCAGTGTGGGCAGTGAGGCAGTGGTGCTGACAGGACAGCATCAAACACTGTGACTTGTTGAAGTCTTAACTTTTTTAGACACAGAGTCTTACTTTGTCACCCTCAGTAGAGTGTTGTGGCATCATAGCTCACAGCAATCTCCAGTTCTTGGGCTTAGGCATTCTCTTGCCTCAGCCTCCCAAGTAGCTGGGACTATAGGCATCTGCCACAATGCCTGGCTAATTTTTGTTGCAGTTTGCTGGGGCTGGGTTTGAACCTGCCATCCTTGGTATATGGGGCTCAGTGAGTAGGGCGCTGGCCCCATATACCAAGGGTGGTGGTTTGAACCTGGCCCCGGCCAAACTGCAATAAAAAAAATAGCCAGGTGTTGTGGCAGATGCCTATAGTCCTAGCTACTCAGAGGGTTAAGCAAGAGAATCACCTAAGCCCAAGAGTTGGAGATTGCTATGAGCTTTGGTGATGTCATAGCACTCTACTGAGGGCAACAAATGAGACTATGTCTCTAAAAAAAAAAGAAAGAAAGAAAAATTCCATATTATTTAAGAATGAGAAAAGAGGCTCCGCACCCGTACCACAGTGGTTACTGCACCGCCACATACTCTGAGGGTGGCAGGTTTGAACTTGGCCTGGGTCAGCTAAACAGCAATGACAACTGCAACAAAAAATAGCCAGGCACTGTGGTGGGTGCCTGTAGTCCCAGCTACTTGGGAGGCTGAGGTAAAAGAATCACTCAAGCCCAAGAGTTTGAGTTGCTGTGCCCTGTGATGCCACGACACTCTACCAAGGGGTGATATAGTGAGACTCTGTGAGACAGAGACATAGTGAGACAAAAAAGATGAGAAAAAGATCTTTGCCTTCTTGATTGCAGAAAGGTAGTCCTCACTACAATATGCACCTTCTGTGTCACTTTGGGTAAATCAGGAGCTTGACTGTGTACCTGGTGTGTGACATGCCTCACCATGCCTCTCACTGACTTCTTCCCACGCCTCCTCTGCCTCCCTCTGGGCTCTGCCAGCTCCTGCCTCAGGTATGAGGGTTCATTCTGGGGCCTGGACATGCTTGTAGGATGACCCCCACATGCCCAGGTGACCCCCTACCTCTATTTTCATCCATCTCTCATCTTCATGCCAGGCCTAGCCACCTCTGCTGAGGAGTACTTTCTCCCAAACACCGATGATTCCTCCTATTTCACCTGCCCACACTGGAGCTGTCCCCCACTTTCTGTGTGCCCCCCACCTCCATCAGCACCTGTGGTGCAGACAGGCCTTGGCAGCCCCCAGCAAGAAAGGCTCTTACCCATCTTCCCAGCTGGCCTACGCCCCCATAACCACACCCTGCAGGCTGCAAACCCCATGGCATTCTGCTATAGTAGAGCCATGTGCAGACTGGTCTCCATATATGACCTCAGCCCCTGTAGGAGCCTTCCAGCAGGTGCCAAGAATGGCATGCTCCTCCTCACCCACTCCTTGCCCTGCCTGAGTTGCCCTTCAGAGAGGCTGGTGGCTTCATGACCTCGGGGCCCTGGTGGCAAGTGCACCCTGCTGCAGACCAGTGTTTTCCTCACTGCCCATCCCCATCTCAGGCAAAGGGTTCCAAGGTGTGCTGTGAGCATAGGGTGCTGGCTATGGTCAAGTCCAGCCATACTCCTAGGAGCTGCTCTCAACCCAAGCCACCTACCTTCAGAGTAGCATCTACTCTGAGAACAAGAAGTTCTTCTGGCAACGGGATCCACTCCAGAGGCACCACGAGGCATTAGTGTTCTGCAGGGCTCTCCAGAGTTCTCTAGACTCAGAACAGGAAAACAGATGCAGTCACTAAAAGGAGACCATATAGGCCTTTGGAATAGATTGCTGGAGCATGGCTGCAGCATGCAGAGGGGCACCAGCCTTGCCATCAAGTAGTGACTCACAAAAGCCTAGACACATTGACCCTTAAGGACTCTAAAGACAGTGTGCCCTCTGGGAGCCCTGGCTGTCCCATTTATTTGTTCATTTCCAAAGTCACTCAGATGACACGAACCACCCTGCACAACATGCCAGAGTTCTGTCTCCTCCCCTGCTGTGTCTCCCCACTGGTCTGTCCCCTGGCAAACAGATATCATCTCTTTCAGGTTTTGGCTGGGGCTGGGTTTGAACCTGCCACCTCTGGTACATGGGGCTGGCACCCTACTCCTTTGAGCCAAAGGTGCCGCCCTCAGATATCGTCTCTCCCATGGGGCCAGATACTTTGATAATTCTCTTCACTCAAGTGCCTAGAACCGTGCTGTGTATGAAACAGATTCTATGGGCTATGAGTACAGTGGATGCTGAGGAGTGAGCAAATGAACAGGCAGATGCCTGACACACACCTCGTGTGATTCTGCCTGCCATGGGGGACTGGGAGAGGGGCCTGCCTGTGGGACGCCCACGCTCTGGCAGGGAAGGGAAAGTGGGTGCATAAGTAATGGCAGAGAAGGCATAAGGCACAAAATGTCAAATTATTTCCAAATAACCTTGTGTTTTAGGACATGCAAACTATCCTACACCCCCCCAGAGTGGCACCTGGCCTCCAGTCCTGAATGTCCAGCCATGCCCAGTCTCTACACCAAGGACTTCCCAAGCTGCTAGGCGCCCAGCCTGGTGCTGATGCACATCAGCACTGCCACTGAGGCTGCCCTATCGGCAGTTTCTCCCCAGGGATGGTGCTCTGCAGAAGCACGGCAGCACTATGTGCAGAGGGCACAGTGGCCATTTGGGCATTACTGGCTCTAACTTCTGATCTTCAATCTCCAGTCCTCAGTCCCCTGGCCAGGCACTGGGTTAGATCACACTGGACCCCAGCAGAAGCCATGAAGGACCAGGGCCAGAGCCCAGATGGTCGTCTGTGGAGCTCTGACAAAGCCTAGGCCTGCTCAGACATATGGACTGCCACTCCACAGACCATGCTGAGGGATGAAGCAGCTCATGCCAGCTTTCACCTCCCTCCCTCTGGGGCCTTGGGCCAACTTGTCCTGAGCTTCTTGACCACTGCTGCACAATCTGCTCCAGCACTGTCCCTCTTTTAGTTGAAAGTGTATCCTTAGAAAGTGGCCATCTGCAAACCACTGCCTCTGTGATTTCCCCTCAGGTGACCAGCCCTGGGGCTGATAGGAGTGGAACTGGAGCTCCCCGGTGCTGGGTGGCCTCCACTGCCCCCCCCCCAGCCCTAGGAGGTGCTGGCACATACAGTTTGCTCCAGGTGAGCTGGTAGAGGGAGGTTGTGGCTGAACACAAGCTGCCCACATTCTTATGGGGTCCCTACGACCCACAGATGGCTGGGGCTGCAAAAGAGATTATATACAGGCAAAACCAAAACCTCATGCACCCAATTTTATCAACCAAAATACAAATGCTGAGTTGCTATAAAAAACAGGTCCAATCGACGTTCATTACCAAAATTTATGTACAGATTCAAAGCCTGGTTTTTCTTCACTCCTTATTTCTGAAAAATGGTGTAAGGTTGAAAAATCCTCAGTCGCCTTTGGGACTGTTACTTCTTGAAAAGCAAACTTAAAAATGTCCTCATAGCTTAGAACAGGCTGAAAACAAAAAGAAAAACATACCAAAGTTAGAAGTACACACATTATGTTACCTTATTCCAAGTAAATAGGTACAAATGAAATTTGTAATTGATTGTACTTATTAGTGGTACCATCACGCAACATACTCATCCCCAACCCCACCATGGTGTGCAGAACATGGGAAAGCATAGCAGGGCACCAAATTAGCACTGTTCTCCATGTTAATTGGTTATGAACTTGATGCATATACAGTAGAAACAGCACTTGCCTTGGAAAAGACCTTCTGGCTGAGCTGTGTGAAGTGAGGGGAGGAGGGCTGCCTGGCCTCTGCCGGGTGAGGTAGGTGTGGCATGCTGGTGCTAGCAGGTGTCTGAGGGGTGCCTGCGCATGTTTTATGTCTTCCAACCGAGGCGCAGTTTTCTGCCTTCACCTACTGCTTCTTGTGAGATCCAAATTATGCTCAAATTGTCCCCTATTGTATCAATCATACTGGAAGAAAGTCCTGTTTTCAAAACTAGCCTGCTGTGGTGGTGGGAGCCTGTAGTCCCAGTTACTGGGGAGGCTGAGGCAGGTAGAGCCCTTGAGCCCAAGGGTTTGAGGTTCCTGTGAGCTGTGATACCACAGCACTCTAGCCTGGGTGACAGGGTGAGACTCTGTGAAAACAAAGAGGGAAGAGAAAAAAGAAAGTGAAAAAGAAAGAAAGAAAACAAAGCCCTGTAAATAAGCATTAGAACGGAGCTGACTGTATTAAGAACGGGTCTTGTCAGGGGTCCAGGGAAACTCTGGTTTAGAAAACAAACAGTACATCCCTGAGAACCAGCAACACCATTATTTCCTTCCTCAAGTGTTTCACTTATCTTTCGTTCTTATCGTATTTGGGATGAACCATTTGGGAAGAGATGACAGAGGACGAGGAGCAGTAAAAGGAAGAAGAGGAAGACAAGAAGGGCTCAGAGGCCATCACAAAAGGGTTAACACTGGGCAGTCAGTCAGACAGGGCCAGGAAGGGCGGGGGCAGCATCCAATTCATTATTCACAGACTGAAATGAGATGCGATTTCAGAATCTCTGTAAGCCTTTGTAACTCTGTAAATTCAGAATTCAGACAAAAAGCCCCTTCTCCATATGCCCTTAACTGGGGCCAGCAAAAGCTGAGCCCCACCAAGGCTGGGGAGTGGGCAAGCCTGGGAGGAGAGGTCAGAGCAAGTGCCCAGCCCAGGTGGCTTCCCTCTGGCCTTGGTGTGACCCATTTCTGCAGCTCCTGTGCCACCAATTTATTCCCTTTCTTGGCCTCAGGAAGACAGGACAGCCAAACACATGGCAGGGATGAAGGCCAGGGAACAGAAGACCGGTTCTCCAAGGCGGGCAACTCCCTCCCCGGCCAGCGATCCGAGGCCTTTAGGTGAGGGAAAACTTCCCACTCACGGTGACGACAGCACGTTAGAAATACTTCGGGAGGGGACGACCACGGTTCCCGTCATCCAAGGTCCACCCGGGCATAGCTGGAGAGAACCACGCTCCTTTGGAGCAGAAGCAGTCCTGGGTGGCCGAGGCTCTGCGGATCTCTCCAGGAGTTGAAGAGACTGAGAGGGCGGTCCAGACTCGACTGGAGGTCCCCGGAAGCCCTCAAAGTCCCCCCACGTGCTGGGGCGCAGGCGGGGCGCCCCTCTGCTGGCGGGGAGACACCGGCTTTCCCACGCAGGAGGATGCCGGCGCGGAGCCTCGACCATTCCACATCGCTGCCGCTGCGCCTCCCCACGACCTCCTGGAGGTCTCGCCGGCCGTGCATGGCCGACGGGACGCGGCTCAGCGGTCATCCACGCCGCGCGCTGGCGGCCGGGCTCGGGGAGCGCCCTAGTGCCGCTACGGAACTCACACGGCCCGGCGCAGCGACCTGCGCTGGGCTGGGAGGGCAAGGCCCCCGAGGCACACGAGGACCTGCCCAGTTGGGGTCGAGGGACCCGACTGGGGAGTCCGCGAGGCCCGGGTGCGAAGAGTGGGTGCGGCGCCCGGCCTCCGAGAGTGGGGGTTTCGCCTGTACGGGCAGCGAAAAGGTCCGGCGCGCCCAGCCTAATCCCACCTCACCGTGTCGCTACAACCACCGGGCCGGCTGGCACAGCTGGCAGCCGCCAGTCACCTGGGCTCGGCGCGGGCCCGTTGCGTGGCAACGGTGAGCGCCAGCCCGCTTCCGGCTTCCGTAAGCCGCAGAGCTCCGCCCCTCCGCGCCACCTCCTGGTATAGGGCTCCGCACGTGCAGGATACCCGGGCGAGGGGCTGTCCGGCGTCTGAGCCTCTTATTTAGTTGCTAGAAGCCTCGGTACCTCTGTGAGCAACGCGCGCCCCGGGAATGAAATCGCTAGCTCACTCCCCCTAGTCCTGGCACCCCTACTCTGGGCGGTCCTGGCCAAGCCCTGGAGCGCCGGCCCCGCCCGCTCGCGGCTGCAGTGTGGCTGGCTGCGGGGCGGGGCTGTCTGTGCGGCGGTGTGACATCTGCTCAAACCAACTCCTGTGAGGGAGGATGAAGGTCAGCTGCTTATGCGGCAGGAGGAGAGACGGCGCCACTTCCCCTCAGAACCCCTGTCCTGCCCCTGGCCTGGTCACTAACCAGCCCAGGGGGGCGGGGCAGAGGCCGCTGCTCTTAGGCCTCCACAGTCTCTTGAAATCAGCCTTGCTTGACCTTGACTCCATCCCCAACCCAACCTCTCCAGACTGACCATCGTGGCCTCCTCTGTGGGCAAGGGGAGGACAGGCAGGCCCTGGTCAGAACCTTGATCCACACACCCCCAATCTACCTCCAGCCTCACATTTCTCCCACCTTGCGACCTCCCTGAGCCCTGCCCGGTTCCTGTCCTTCCTGTATGAATCACCCACCCCCTCCCTCGTGCTTCTCAGCCAGCTACTGAAAATTTTAATTTAAAAAATGAGACGATGAGGTCATTCTCTGCACCCTAGACAGTGGCCTCCTTCCTCCCCTTCCCACTGGACAAAGCAGCCAGCCAATGCAGTGTGGAAGCTCTACTGACAGATTGCCCAGAACTGGGCCTTGGCTCAGCCACTCCCAGCACCACAGTGACAGTGAGGGATGGTGATCAGACACCGTCTGGGTTTGCAGACACTGCCTCAGCTTGACTGGAGGCCCAGGGGTCTGCTGTCCTTGTCCACTACCTGCATTCCTCATCTACTGTCCTTGCCACTGTTGAGGTCCAGGGAGCCAGAAAGGGGGTAGGAGTGTTGTCCTTGCATGCAGGTGGAGAAAGTGAGGCCAGGCTCAAAGGCCTGTGTGAGACACAGAGCTGGGACTCGAGCAGTTTTGCTGGTCTCAGCAGTCCCCACTCCCATCTGGGCCTCAGCTCCCAGGTAGAGAGGATGGGGAGCCTTGTGCCCCAGGGTGGCTGGAGGGCAAAGTGACTCAGGGAGAAAGCAGCCTCCTTCAGCTTTAGTTCTCAGCCCCTAGGTCCACAGTTGGATTGATATGTAGCTGACTAATGTTCCCCAAAGATGTCTGTGTCCTAATCCCAGAACCTGTGACTATGTAACCATACAATGTAAAGGAGACTTTACAGGCATGACTAAATTAAGGATCTCAATCTGAAGAGATGGTCCTGGATTATGTGATTGAGCCCAGTGTAGTCACAAAGGCCCTGTAAGAAGGGGACAGGACGTTTGAAGAGAGAAGCTATGAAAACAGAAGAAGTAGCTAGAGGGCATAGGATGCTCCAGGCACCCCCTGGAAGCTAAAGAAGACAGGAGATAGGTCTACCCTGAGGCCTTCAGAAGGAACACCACCCTGCCAGGGCCCAGAACTGGAAGAGAATAAATGCACTATATGTTGTTTTGTGTTGTTTTGTTTGTTTTCGAGACAGAATCTCACACTGTTGCCCAGGCTAGAGTGCTATGGTGTCATCACAGCTCACAGCAACCTCAAACTCCTGGGCTCAAGAGCTCCTCCTGCCTCAGCCTCCCCAGTAGCTGGAAGTATAGGTGCCTGCCACAATGCCTGCCTATTTTTTAGAGATGGGGTCTCACTCTTGTTCAGGCTGGTCTTGAACCCCTGAACTAAAGCAATCCACCCACCTCAGCCTCCCATAGTGCCAGGATTACAGACATGAACCACCACTTTTTCTTTTTCTTTCTTTCTTTTTCTTAGGCTGGGACTACAGGTGCCTGCCACAATGCCTGGCTTTTTTGTTGTTGTTATTGCAGTTTAGCAGGGGCCAGGTTCGAACCTGCCACCCTCGGTATATGAGGCTGGTGCCCTACCCACTGAGCAACAGGTGCCCCCCAACTTTTTCTATTTTTAATAGAGATGGGTCTTGCTCTTGCTTAGGTTGGTCTCCAACCCCTGAGCTCTGTGTCAGCCTCCCAGAGTGCTGGGATTACAGGCATGAGCCACCATGCCTGGCCTGTACATTGTTTTTAGGGATTGCATTTGTGGTGTGTTATAACAGCAGGAGGAAACTAATATACATGGATGACCTCTGGTGACCCACTAAAGAGGCACTTCCTTGGGGTGCTGAGACTCAGAGGAAGTCGTAGGGCTGACCCTGATGTTGGATGCCTGGCCCTGGCTTCAGGAGGGATGAGCAGATGGACTCTGCTCTTTAGTAGTGTCGGAGCAATTGTCCTGTTCATGGCACAGCTGTGTGGGACATGGTCTAGGCCTCTAGGGTGGTGGGCAGAACAGGCTGCTGCTGAATTTAATGGCGCCAGCTGCTGGGGGGAGATTCAGCCAGGAGGGGTGGGACCTCAGTAAAGTCAGGGTGTAGGAGACACAGGCCATGACTCTCTGAGGGCCATGCAGGGACAGGTGCACGGCAGCCAGGAGCAGGCACTCATGTAGCCCTCCCAGGTTCCTTTCTGGCTACCTCATATTTCAGGAAAAACCAGGGACAACATAGGAAAATCGCCCCCCAAACAATGAAGAGAGCAGAGAATGACTCCAGCACCAGGTTGAGGAGTTGGGTGAGTTATTAGTGGTTTCTTGCCCCTTGGCATGCTGAAATTTCTTTTGCAGGAGCATCTTGCCAGCAAAATTCACTTCTGCCCACCTTGCGAGGTTGCATTAAATCCTTCCCCAGTTAACTATGCAAGGTTTTTATGTTGTATCTTCATACACCCTGACTTATGCTTATGGTATTACAATTTCCCACTAGGCGGGGTTTTGGTATTACGGTTGGTTAAGGGTGCTATCCACAGCACATCAGCTGTGCCAAAGCAGGGCCATTTCAGGCCTTGTCAAGGTAAGAAAGTGCCAGGCACTTCCCCCACATCTCCTAGTTATCTGCCTAGCCTACTTTGTAATGATGCTGCTGAAGGGGGCGGAGGACAGCTTCCCCTGTGCAGAGGAGCCAAGCTTCCCCTCTCCCAGCTTCCTGAAGGGGCCAACCTCAGTCCTGGGCAGGTCCCACCCCACCCATGGCACCATGATACCCCATAGCCATCTTGGCATCTCCCAGCATCACCTGATGAGCAAAGACTGGCTGTGGAAAGATCCCTTGCTCAGAAGCACCAGACATCTTGCTCCTCTGGGATCCTCAGGCCTGAGTCCCTAGGGTTTGTTGCCGAGAATGACTGTCTCCATCTTGGTCAGCTTGTGGTGTTCAGGCAGCAGGAGCAGTAGGGCTGGTCAGAGCTTGCTGTACCTTCCCCAGATCCAGAGGGGCCAAATGCTGAGTTTTCTGCCAGGGAGGCTGGTGGGGGATCCTGGATTGGACTAGGAGCACAGCTCTCTGACACATCCTGCTGTGAACTCAGCTGTGTGGGTGCAGAGAAGGGGGACCGGAGGGCAATGCCCAAGCCTGATACAGACACTCAGCTTTGGGAGACTGAGGCACTTAAAGGTCAGGGGCTGGCTGGTGTGGTCAGACAAGAGGGTGCTGTGTAGACAAATGTCCCTACTTGCTCATAGTGGTCCTTAGAACAGCAGCCTGGAGCGCTCCCCTGCTCTCTGCAAAGGTCTGAAGGTCTATGGTGGGAGCAGTGGTCAAGGTAGGCAGTTGCTGAGGCAGCCTGGAAGCTTCTTCTTCCCCCACATGAGGGGCAGGGCTGGGAGAAAGTCTACAGCCCAGTTGGGGCAGGGCAGGGACCAAGGCCAAGCTATTTCTGCTTGTGCTGCAAACAGGCATCAGTCACTGACACTGGGCAAAGCTGCAGAGGACAGTAGCCAGTCCAGCCGCAGAGGAGGGGGCAGCTCCTTCCCTAGGCCCTTCCTGTGCCTGCACCCAGACATGGGGGGACCTGCAGCCCCTCCTTGGGAAGGCTGTGGGCAACCAGTGGGCCCAGGCCAGGGCTGGGGTGTAGTTCCCAGTGACCCTGTCTTGAGAGTTCCGGGGGGTGGAGCCTGTGGGTGTTGGGGGAGCATGTGGCACCCCAGCTGCAGCAATGGCCCTCCTACTAGGGGGGGCACCTGCAGAGGTGTGGGGCCTCGTGTGTGCCAAGGTGAGTGAGAATTTGGCTTGTGTGGTGATGCTGAGGGGCTTCAATTCCTGAGCCAAGCCTAGCTGCTGTGGCTTTCCTCAGCCAGGCTTCTGTCCCCACAGAGGGCATGGGGAAGGCTGGAGCTGGGCACAGTAGCAGAGCTGGGGTAGCCCACTGCTCCCATAGATGTCATCCTGGAGCCAGGTTTGGGCTTCTGAGGCTCTGGTAGGGGTGAATTCTAGCTGGGCCCTGGGGAGTAGACTGACTTGTGGCCAGTGACTCCCCATCCTGTGCCTCCTGTCTGTGGGGGTTCACTACCCCAGGACATCCAGAGTGAGATAGACCCTGGATGCCATGGGTAACAAGGCTAAG